CAGACCACTCAAGAGGAAAGACCTTAAGGTACTGACCTCAGGAGTTCCCCAACTAACAGTCTATTTAGAAACCCTGTAGTAAAGGAACACAACTTGGCAAGCCCCATTCACATGTGCAGAGCTTCCAATTAGCATTTCATTCTATTTCTTACGAATAACTAATATTACTGGGTATTTAAGGAAAGCTTCTTATATAAACAAAAAGATCCAAATAAACAGATTAGAGCAACTTGGAAAAAAGAGATTCTGCAGATTCTTCAAAACATAAAAAAGAAATTACACAATAGAATACTATGCAGCAGAAAGAAAGAACTCCTACACTTCATGACAGCATGTATGAAACTGGACAGCATTATACTAAGTGAAATAAGCCAGGCAGTGAAAGACAAATACCATTATGTTCTCACCTATAAGTGGAACCTAATCAGCGAAACAAACAAGTGAGCAAAACAGAACCAGAAACATGGAAATAAAGAACAAACTTTATTCTTTATTTAAAGAATAAAGGGGATAGAGGGGAATAATGGTGCAAAGAAGAGGAAGGGTCATCAAGGGACATGTATAAAGGGCCCATGGACAAAGACGGGGCAGGGGAGGATTGAATGTGGAAGGTGGGCATAGGTAGGGTTGGGGAGAGTAGTGGGGAGAAATGGGGACAACTGTAATTGCACAAAAAAAAAGGAAGAAAAAAATTGAGCAATAATTTGCACTCAAAACAGTTTGAAGCTAGCAGAGGTTGGTTCATTAATTTTAAGACGCTGTCTCTAAAGGAATATTTTCAAGGAAAATGAAACAGCTTTATGTTGGGAAAGATGTCATCTAGAAATTTTATAGCTAGAGAGGAGAGGTCAATGCCTGGATTCAAAGAATCAGAAGACTGGCTAACTCTCATGTTAAGGGCTAGTGCAGCTGGTGACTTTAACTTGCAAGCAACGATCATTTACCATTCTGAAAATCCTAGAGCCCTTACGAATTATGCTAAATTTACTCTGTGTTCTACAAATGGAACAAAACCTAGATAATAGCAAGTGTATTTACCATGGTTTACTTGAAACCTGATGTTTAAAAAAAAAGATTCCTTTCTAAATACTGCTGCTTATTTATGATGCACTTGGTCGCCCAAGATCTCTGATAGAGATATACAACAAGATTGATGTTCTCATGCAGGCAAACAACATGCATTCTGCAGCCCATGGATCAAGGATTCATTTCAACTTTCAAGTTTTATTAAGAAACACATTTTGTAATGTCATAGCTGATGGACGTAGGTAAAGTAAATCAAAAACCTTCTGGAAAGGATTCACCATTCTAGATGCTATTAAGAAAATCCATAATTCATGGAAAGAGGTCAAAACATCAACAATAATGGGAGTTTGGAAGAAGGTGATTCCAAGCCTCATGGATGACTTTGAAGGGTCTAAGACTTCAGCGGAGGAAGTAACTTCAGAAGTGGTGGGAAGAGCAAGAGAATAATAATTAGAGTGGAGCCTGAATATGTGACTAAATTGCTGCAATCTCAAGATCAACCTTTAACAAAAGAGGAGTTGCTCCTTCTGGGTGAGCAGAAGAAAAAACCATTTCTGGAGAAAGAATCTACTCCTGGTGAAAATGCTATGAAGATTGTTGAAAAGACAAGTGATTTAGAATGTTACATATACTTAGTTGAGAAAGCAGCAGCAATGTGTGAGAGAATTGACTCCAATTTTGAAACAAGTTCTACTGCGGGTAAAATCCTATCAAACTGCATTGCGTGTTACAAAAAAAAAAAAAAAAAAAAAAATCATTCCTGAAGAGTCAATTGATGAGGCAAACTCCATTGTCTTTTTAAGTAATTGCCACAGCCACCCCAATATTCAGCAACCAAAATCCTGATCAATCAGCAGCCATCTAGCAATAAGATAACTCTCTGAAGACACAAATAATGATTAACATTTTTACCAAAAGAATTTTAAATTAAGATATGTACAGTACATTTTTAAAATACTTAATAGACTCAGCATAGTGTAAGCATACTTTTTATATGCACTGGAAAACCAAAAATGTTAATGACTCACTTTATTGCCCTTTGCTGTATGTGGTGATCTGTAACTGGACTCGCACTATCTCTGAGGTATGCCTGTATATGCAGACACAAGAAGCTACTAATCGGGACGTGAGTCCTTGGGGAAAAAATGAAAAATCTTTTTGTCATTTACCCATTTTTTTAAGCTTGTATACTGTAAATAGTACTTATTTAAAAATAAAATATATTCCCCAATTTAAAAAGAGGATAGAATGAAACATATGAACATCATATATAGTAAGGAAGTTTTATGAAACTTGCTTCAGTTAAATATATAAAACTGTACTTAATAACATATATTAATATATAAACATGTTCATTATAAATTAATGGGTTGTGATGGAGAATGTTTCTTATTGTGAGCTGCAAAGAAGTTTGAAAGAAAGTACCTCTTACACAATACATTTGGGTTCTGAACAATATCAGACCTAAGATATTCATGCACTAGTGGGTGAATGTATACATGGAATTACAAAACATCCATCTTTGAGTCCATATTCCAGGTGCAGCATCCACTTGTGTCTTCCCCTGTAACTACAGTGTTTGGGAGGTCCTCTGGAAAATTGAAATTTTACAAATATTTTTTTATTATTGTTCATTTAAAGTCGTCCCCCTTTCCCCCCATTACTCTCCCCTGCCCTGACCATCGCCCTCCCCAACATTCAATCCTCCCCCCCACTGCCGCCAATCATTGTTCTTGTCCACTGGTCCTTTATACCTGTTCCTCGACTCTTCCCCTTCTTTCCCATTATCTCCCTCTCCCCTTCCCTCCCCTCTGGTCACTGTTAGTTTGTTCTTTATTTCCATACCTCTGGCTCTATTTTGCTCACTTGTTTGCTTTGTTGATTAGGTTCCACTTACAAGTGAGAACATAATGGTATTTGTCTTTCACCACCTGGCTTATTTCACTTAGCATAATGCTCTCCAGTTCCATCCATGGTATCACTAAGAGTTTAAGTTCCTTCTTTCTGCTGTGTAGTTTTCCATTGTGTAAATGTACCAGTTTTTTGATCCACTCATTTATAGATGGGTACTTAGGTTGCCTCCAGCACTTGGCTATTGTAAACTGTGCTATAAACATTGGGGTGTATAGGTTCTTTTGAATTTGTGTTTTGGGATTCTTAGAGTATAATCCCAGCAGTGCCATTGCTGGGTCAAAAGGCAGCTCCATTTTTAGTCTGAGGAAATTCCATACTGTTTTTTACAGCGGCTGCACCAGCCTGTATTCCGTCCAACAGTGTAGTAGGGTTCCCTTTTCTCCACCACCTCACCAGCACTTGTTGATCTGTTTATGATGGCCATTCTGACCAGGGTAAAGAGATATCTCATCGTGGGTTTTAATTGCTGTTCAGCTACAGCTGTGGTTCCAATTTGCATTTAGAGAAATGGCTAGTGATGTTGAGTATCTTTCATAAGTCTCTGGGTCCTCTGTATGTTCTCCTTGGAGAAGTGTCTGTTCAGGTCCTTTGCCCATTTTTTAATTGGATTGTTTGTCTTCGTGGAGCAGAGGCATGTGAATTCTTTACATATTTTGGGGGTCAAACCCTTGTCTAAGCTATCATTGGCAAATATATTTTCCCATGTGATTGGTTCTTTTTTCATGTTGCTGTCTTCTCTAGCTCTACAGAAGCTTTTTAATTTGATGTAGTCCCATTTGTTCTTTTTTTTTATACCCTTTGCCCTATGAGGATGTATCAGTTAAAACATTGCTGCGTGGAATATCTGAGATTTCTCTGCCTATATTCTCCTCTACGTCTTATGGCACTGTGGCTTATATTTTAGTCTTTTATCCATATTTTTGTGTATGGTGTAAGTTGGTGATCATATTTCATTTTTTTCATGTACCTGTCCAGATCTCTCAAGACCATTTGTTGAAGAGGCTATTTTTACTCCATTTTATGCTCCTGCCCCCTTTTGGACATTTGAAAAATATGGCTTTATATAAGCATACCATTATGAGGAAACTATGAAAAAAATTAAGATGACAGGACACTACTGTTACACCATTTTTAATTTTAAGGAATATTATTCTGAAGCACTCAAAAAATCATAGGTCTCTTCCAAGATTTAATATCTTCTATAAGATTCCACTAAGATGGTAGAAAACCACAAAGTCCTTCCTTAAGGATGGGTGTAAATGGTAATACTGCATTACTGCACAGTATAGAATACAAACTATGAAGATGAGGAAACAATTATTTCAACTTCCATCCCCCAGATTACTCTTTTTGAAGACATGGTTACTTAACATCCCAGAAGCTATCTTACTGAGATCCACCACTGTGACCTATGAGTGATAAACCTTTTCAAGTTAACGTAATAAATGTGATGTTGCCTACACCCACCTGGGGGACAGCTAAAAGGAAAAACCCTCAGTATTACACAACATCCGTTAGAGAAATTGCACCCACAATTACTTTTCTGTCAAGATCTGCCAACTGAACAATTTTTAAATAGCTAAAATATAATTGAGGTCATATGGACACCATACATGGAACTACACACAAACATACTCTGTTCACAAATGTTCATCTTTATACTAACAGCACCCTGGAACAGTCAATGCACAGTCACATTTTTAAAAATCACGAAAGGTAAACACAACAGGGCTTTTGCACAATGGCAGAAAATTCTGTTCTTGGTAGTAGACAAGATAAACTGGCTGAAGAAATACTATGGTTTATGTAGAAGCATAAACTACAATCTAACAGAATCATAGGATACTTGAAAAAGTTATACAAACCCCAACAGAGTCTAATATTTTACAATAGTTTATATAAAAGGTTAAAAAAAAAACCAAAGTTGTCATTTCTTGTTTCCTTAAATAACCATTTTACTCTAAGTTGGTGAAATCATGAGACTACTTTGAGAAATTTTTCTAGATGCAAGATGCTTTGAAATGGAATCACTAATTAGTAAGCACAACTGAACCCCGGACAGAGAAATTTGTATAACAGTATTATAGTTCCCAAAATTTGAAAAGCAGGAGGCTTAAGACAAATGGTAACATTAAGGAGAGCCAGTCAAATATTAAAATGGCACTCTGAAAATGGTTCATAGAAAAACCTAATTTTCTGTTAGTTTTCATCCTATGGGTGAAACTGTTCAGTCAGTAGAGAATAGCTAGAAGTTGGGGAAGGAGCACCTAGAAAGGCTGTATCAAGACAACTCCCCTTTGACGTATCCACAAAAGGAAAATGATTTTTAATTTAAATGTTTTATTGTTTATGCTATTACAGTTCTCCCAGGAAAATGACTTTTCGTGGCGTGCATTTATCTTCAGAAAGACAGACCAGTCCCCTCAACTCCATTGTGTGCCTGGTTATGGATAGTAAAAATATTTCCAGAAGAGGTAAAGACTAACAAAAACCATAAGTTCACTCCAGGACAATGTGATGATGTCATGGAAAAGGAGCACCAGATGTTGATGATTTTCACAGCTTTTTTTTTTTACTGGCGGAATCTGTCATGTTTATACCATATGAAAATTAGAGCCCCTCCTCAAAAAAAGGTAATGCAGAAAAATTAAGATTTACAAAAGAAAGTATACATTTAAAGTAGGTAAAAATAGTATATATATTTTTTCAAATATATACAAAATAATCTATGAACTGCCTCAATTTGAATGTAACTTAGTACTTATTTCATATTATCCAGATTCAGTTGCTCTGGTAAACCTATATTACATATGTTTTAGGATTTCTATTCTAAAAATATCTACTTTTAAGCCAGTACATAAAACTTGTATTTGTCCTCCTATGTATAAACTATCCTGCTTGTTATCTTCTTGGATCCAAGATGCTAAAAGATTCGTAAAAAAATTTTTTAAAACCTCATCATGGATTAACAAATATTTCTTCAAGTTTTCTCAATCACACTATGAAAAGTAAATTGTATTAATTTATTATAGATTTCCAGATATAAATAGCAGTCAATAGTTGGCTGGCTATTAAATCATAAGTAAAATTATTCTTAGAACTAGGACATAGTATATGGAATGCCTTAATTTTTCTTAGTTCAAACCCTGTAAAATACATAGCCATTCGCTTTTATTTGTTTTAAGCTGACATACTGTCTTTGCAGTCTATACTTTGTAAGAGAGCAGGTAACTCTAGCACAGAAGAGATTATATAATGTGGTATGGGTGATGACTTCAGTGGAACTATTGAATTTTTATTTATCCAGACTGTTGCTTTCAGCCCTGCATTGAGACCTCCTTGTATATCAGTTTCTAGTGTGTCACCAACCATCACACAGTCCCCAGGCTGCACTCCGAGGAGATCACAGCAGTAATAAAATATGGAAGGTGCTGGTTTCTCTTCTTTCTGTTCTCCACCTACAACAACAGCATCAAAATAGGACTGACAGGCACAAGCCTCGATCTTCTCCCTCTGGGTCAGCTTGTCTCCATTTGTTAATAAAAGTAAGTAGACTTCCTTTCGAAGTTCAGTGAGCATGGCTTTGACATCTTCTGCTAGTGTCATATGCTGTAAACGTGTAGATTTCCACAGAAAGTAACATTCTTCAGCCAATTTCTTATTGGCTGTACCACCCTTGGTTTCCTGAATTGCTTCTTCCCAGTGTGAAATCCTTACATCAGTAATGCATGCATTGGAAGAATGAAAATATTCCTTGCTGAGTTTAACTTGAACTTTGTCACAAATTATTTCAGCCTCTTCTTTGTAATGGTAATTTGATTGTAAGAGCTTTATTACCTAAATAAAGGAAAATAACTACATTAACATTAAAAAAACTTTATGCCTTTTAACAGCTTTGCTATGAGAGATGTGATCCTATAAACCCAGAACACAGAGATTCTTACTCCATTCTTCTGTCTTAAGGTAGCTCTATTATCACACCATTTCCAGTGGGAATTGGTCTTATTTTTAAAGAACACCAGAGTAAAGATCTCCCAACCTCTCTAGAAAACTATACATACATACATACATAAAATATATATATTCATTCCAATTTCTATTCTAAAAACATTCTTCATATACCGTTAATAGAAATCCTTCTTTTAGCAGTTTAAGTCTACCACCTTTCATTCTGGTCATGAAAACATGGAAATGAAACTTGTGCTTATGTTTAGTGAAATCTTAAATTTCTAACAACTGTTATTTAGACCCTTCCCAGAAATAACACTAGTTTATCTCACGTTTTCTTTTTTATCCCTTTCATGTTTTAAAGACCTAAATTGACCACCATATAAAATGGGACCCAATTCTGAACTTTAAAAATGGGTATATAGCGCTAATGAAATCAAGCATGTTTTGTGATTTCAGCAGTTTAATAATCCAGTCCTTCTTCCAAACCTAGGTTTCCAAATTTAAAAAAAAAAAAAAAAAAAAAAACTTCAAGTATTTTTGAGTCATTCTCTTTGTTACCATGGTTCTTATTCCCTCTTCAGAATTACATTAGGTTCTTATTCATTTGGACTGTCTTCTAACATTTACTAAGACCCTAACGTGGCAAGCATTATGCCCAATGCTCACATTCATTATTTCTACCTTTCTAACTCTACAAAAGTTTCCCTTCTGAGATGAGGAAATAGAAGTTCAGAATTAACTAACGCCTGAGCTGGGATTTTAACCCACACTTGCCTACTCTCAAAGTCTATAAATGCTTGCCTTTACACTATTGTATTAGCACTTAAAGACTGGGTCCCTTGCCTTCATGACATTATATGGTGGGGAAAATAAACAGGTATGCAGCCACCACAAATGCTGGGCTGAGTGACATGACAGTCTTATGAACATCAACTGTAGAAATAAAATGGAAGGAGCAAGTCCTTCCACAGGATTGTTAAGTAAACCTTGTCAGAGCAAGTAATATTTAAACCAAATAGTTACCAAGTCTCTAAGGTGGGAATGGGAGGGTCATAAAATCATTCTAAACAGAAGGAACAGCATGAAGAAGACACAGAGCTTGGAATTTTGAAGGCACAAGGCTTAGTTCAGCTAAAACAAAGTCAGCTGCGGGAGGATGCTAACAGATGAGACAAGAGGCTGTTTGGTATCAGTCTGTAAAAGGGTGCTGAGTCCCAAGCTATAGCAAAAGCTACCCAAATCATCTTGGCATATACTATTCTCATACATGTCAATGGCTTTATATTGTTAAGTACTTGAGCTTGTCTTCCTGGGGGCATTATTTGGCCACAGGTGCACCATGCACATAGGCTGGGGCCAAAGTGTTGCCCAAGAGCAGACTTCTACCAATGAGGAACTGAAATTGGTGAATAAATATCACAGCTTTCTTGCCCCTTGAGAGGGAGAAGTAAAGTGTATTTTGCATACTATCTCTGAGTTCCCCAACTGTTCACACCAGTAACCTGATCATTTATGTAACCTGTATTCGATTCCTTCATTTCCCTGTCTTACTCCACCACTCCTGTACAGTGCTTACTGGGATTCCCTCCAAACAAATTACCTGCACTTGAAGTCCTTGTTTTAGGGACATCAGGGGAAAGTCAACCATGCCAAGACAATTTTGGATCTTTGCAGATAAGTGCAATGTACATATTTAGGACTAAAATTTGTTTGCTGTTCAAGCAAAGAGGTCAAACAAAATGTGCTGCCCTAAACTATACAGGGAATAGTGGTATGCTACTCATAGCAGACAATCAATTCGCCCTCTAAAAAGAAGGAGGAGATGAACAGACACATTCTCCTTCCTTCAGAATATAAGAATCACTTACACCAAAAGTAAAGGAAATCTGTTTCAGATTATTTGTGCTCATTAGAAAATTCAACAGTTAAAAAAAGTTCTGTTAGTCCAAGGAAAATATACCAGCCTTAAGAATTTTAGGTGAAGGCAAAACACTGAAAAATTTTACCTTATGAAGTTAAATTTCAACTAACAAATCAAGCTCTTTCAGCCTTCATGGCTATGTCACCATGTTTTATAACAATGTCAATTAAATTATTCTTGATCTATGATTAAAGGTCATTCTAAAGTTCTAACAATCCCATTGCCTCACAATAAAAAGAAACAGGCATCTAGGACTCCACAGTGCTTGATCTTAAATAGAAGTTGTATCACACTTAAAAAACACAGAGCTCCCAGTAAAGATCCAGTTGTTACTGCAACTGGCAATTCATTGGGTCGCCAAAAAAGCAGAATTAGCTCACCCTAAAGGGGAGGTTCTTGTAAAGGCATAGTATACTGCTTCCAAGTTTAAAATTTTCCCATTACATTCCCTGAATTAACTTTTCTATTTGTCATATAACAACTAATTACAGACTCATTTGGGTTAAAAAAAAAAAGTACCATTTTAATAATATTAACATCTTTGGGGGAAATGTTTATCAGTCATTCTCATATATTAGATCAAACAGAAATAACTCCCAGGTTGAATCAGTACATGCTATTATTTGTATAAACTCTGCTAACATTTGCCCTGAGAGAATGGGAATTCTGATTGAATTGAAGGAAAAGGAAAAAAAGATCTCTAACTTAGAGATGTGATAATATTCTGTGCAACAGTAAGGCAGACTTGAAAAAAAAATTCTGAGTAGAATAAGCCCACCAGTTACTTATAGGCCCTGATACCTAAAGAGACCCTAAGATAGTGGAGGCAGGGAATCAATTTGGAGACATAATATAAACTCAAACTTCATCAATTTGAAAATTCTATTTAAGGCTGTAACTTATACAAAAAGGAAACTATTCTTTACCTCCTGTTCTGTCAACCCATAATTAAAGTTAAGATCACCAGTACTGATGTTTAGTTAACTGTGATTTAAGAAGAGTTTTTGAGGGCTAGAACAATATAATATTTTATAACAGTATAATTAAGATATGAAGTGAATGAATTCCAAATAAAACTAACTTAAAAAAACATGCCCGGAGATTAAGATGGCGGGGGACTGAATAGGAGTCACGCTGACCTCCTCCCAAGACCAAACTGGAACTGTGACTAAATAGAGGAGTAATCGCCTGGAAAACAATGGAACGATAGTGGGAGAGGAGACTTGGAGCTGTGGACAGTGGATTCGACTCCCACACATCCCAATGGGTGAGAAGTGCGGTGGAGGCTCCAGAGGGTGGGCTGGGTGCCCACAGGCACTAGCACCAGAGGGACACTGAAACGGCCAGTTAGTTTCCCCGGAGAAGAACGGGGTTTGAATCATAAACAGGGACCCCTAAACTACAGCAGCTAAAACCAAGAAAATACAGACAAAATGCAACCCCAAAAAGCTTAGGGGCGCTCTCTTCCAGAGACAGGTGGCTGGGGATGCAAAAAGACATTTAAAGGGCAAACGCAAAAGTTGCAGTGGCAGCCACCCTCCTTGATCGCTGGGTAGAGGCGGCAGCAGGGTGGGCTGGTGCCTGGGAAAAGACTGGTGAGGAAAACTTTGTGAAGAGAACTGAGATGGTGGCCGGTGGGGCCCCGGTGATAACGCACCTCCAACTCTGCAGCTACCATCTCGCTCAGGCATAAGGGAATCAATTAACCTGCTTTTTGTGCGCTCCGCACAAGCTTGTGCCTGTGAGCTCGGTGGCTGAGTGCAGACTGGCTGGGAGAGCCTTGAGGAGAGACGGGAGACGGAGGCGTTGGGGAAAGAACGCGAGGAGGAACTGGGGAGTCCCGACTCCCTCTCCTTGCCCTCGTCTCCATTGTGCGGGAAGAGGCCACACCCCCAAAGAGCCAAAAGCCAAAAAGCACACATATATACCCCAAAACCACCCAGTGCAGGCGCGCACACTTGCGCCGAGTGGCTGGCGAGAGATGGCGAGCGTGTGTGTGTGACCCGCGCGGGCTGGTGAACGCTTGCACCAGCCAGCAAGGCCTCCCACAGAATGGCACCGATATGGCCTGCGAGGCAGTACACAGAGCAGCAAGGGCAGGCGTAAATTGACTTGCCCGCCCGCGATTGTGGAGTGGCCCACAAAATTAGTATATCCCCGGCCAAAGGGGTCACAGAGCTGCCAAGAGTCCTTGGGGGAGAGACCAGAAACAGGATTAACCGGAGAGTCCTGGAGCTGACTTCCTCCCATTTCCGTAGTCTCCTTTTGGCGAGCGCAAGCAACGCACCCAAAGAGCCAAAAGCGGGGGAATTTCAACACCCCACTGTCAAAAATGGACAGATCTTCCAAACAAAACATTAATAAACACATTGTGGTGCTGAATGACACACTGAACCAAAGAGACTTAACTGACATATATAAAACCTTACATCCCAAAGAAGAAAAGTACACATTCTTTTCAAATGCTCATGGCAGTTTTTCAAAGATAGACCACATGACAGGACAAAGAAGCAAGCCTCAGCAAATTCAGGAAAGTTGAAATAATACCAAACTTTTTCTCGGACCACAAGGACTTGAAACTGGAAATCAACCTCAAAAGGAAACTTCAAAAACTTGCAAACTCATGGAGACTGAACAGTAGACTATTAAACAATGAATGGGTCAATAATGAGATAAGAGAAGAAATCAAAAAATTTCTGGAAACCAATGAAAATGAGCAGACAACAGTCCAAAACCTATGGGACACAGCAAAGGCGGTCCTGAGCGGGAAGTTCATAGCAATACAGGCTTACCTAAAAAAGATAGAAACATTTCAAATAAAAGACCTACCACTACAACTTCAAGAACTGGAGAAACAACAACAAATAAATCCCAGAGCAAGGAGAAGGAAGGAAATAGTCAAGATTAGAGCAGAACTGAATGACATAGAGACAAAAAGAACAATTCAGAGGATCAACCAATCCAG